AATAGCTATTTTTTCCGTCCGATTTTTTGGTTTGATTTTTATAGTCTAACTAATATTTTGGTCATAATGGTTTGATAATTTGTTTATTATTTACTTTATTTATTTGTGTTCATTTGTTTTTTATTCTATTTCGTCTATTCTAAGAGGTGTGATTTGGTAATTTGTTTGGGTTAATTAATTTTGCGTATTTTATTGTTATTTTGTTTTTTATTTATTTATTTTTATTTTATTTTTTCCGTTTTCGCTTTTTAAGTAACGTAGTAAAAGTTTGTTTTCATCTCTGCATTTTGAGATAAGCCCCGATCTTTTATTTAATAATTTGTTTTGGTCTGAGAAAGTAATGATAGCTATTTTTTCAAGCAAAGTTTGCAAGTTTTTGATTGGTTGTTGTAGGCTGATGATCTTTTCCTTATTTTCCAAGATATTTTTGGTGTGATGTGCGTTTTGTTTTTAATTTCCCAAATATACTTAGAAAGCATTGTGCTGTTCGCATATTTACTATTTGTGAAAGATGTTTTGTGTGCATAATTTCTTTGTTTCCAGGTCCTTCAGTTACTCCTATGTATACTTTTTCTTCATTATCTGGTGATTTTATCGTGGCTTGGTATATTAAGTTGTTTTGTAATTTTGCAGTTGCACGTGGGTTTAATTTGTTCGTGTGGTTTGTTGATAATTTTCCTGTTGTGCTTTTTTATTATTTGTGCCATGTTCTTGGTGCAACTTGTAGCTGATTTTAGAGTGCTTTTGTTGAATATTTTGTGCAGTAAAATCAGCTACAGTTCAGTTATATATATATATATATATATATATATATATATATATATACGCACCTACATACATATTCTCGTATACAAATGAATATACAAAATATTGACATTGATAATATATATATATATATATGTATATTGAGTGTATGTGTATATGTATATGTGTATAGAATATTTTCGTTCTATGTATATCGCGTGTGTGCTATGATGTCCCCATTGTGCACTAACGTTTCAGTTGCATTCCATTCACGCTGACTGAGTTTTATTCCCTTTGTCGCGTTGATTACCACTACAACCGATTTATTTTTCTCAAGTGACGTTTTTAGAAGCCCTTGTGTTCTTTAAATAATTTTTAAACACAACTTGAAGAAAATAGACATATCACCGAAGCAGTGTTAAACATTGTACATTGTAAACCGGGGTGTGCAGGTGACGTAATGGATAGCGAAATTGAATTGTTCATTGGAGAGCAGAGTTCTAATTGCAGGTATGGCTCTACCTCTTCCCCTCAGCTATGGGTTGATTAGTAAGATTTGTATCACTAAATCATTACTGTCTCAAAAAATCATAGAATTTAAAATGTTTTTCTGGCTTTAAATAACCTCCAAAAGGTTGATAAGCCATAAAAAATGAATTAATCAATGAAACGTGGCAGAAACAACCAGGAGATTTCAGTTACTTTCTCACTGATGTGACGAGGCTTCCATCTGCCTTTTCCACAAATATTTTCATGGCAACTGCTCTGACGATCTTCTTTCCCTGATGCCCCGACTACACGAATTTAAGCGTGCTACTGGATTGCCATTTAGGTCCCACTCTTTTACTGTTGAAATAGCTAAATGCAACAACTCCTACATTTTCTTTACTCGCACTTCCCGCCTGTCCAACTTCCTTCCGTTTACTTGGTTCTTTGATAACTAAGAGTGTTCCAATAACTTGGATCGATTTTAAAAGTGAATTAAGTTTAAGCGTCTAATGTTTTTTTTCTTTTTCTTTCAGATTTGGCAGACATTTAGGTGATATTATTTTTTACACGTAATTGCCATGACTTAAATAACATGATCCAATAAAGAAATAAAGAAATTTTCACCAATAACACTGATTTATTTACTACTGACTTTGATCCGTCTTAATGAAACACCCTTATATATAATCCGTCTGAATAAAACACCCTTTACAATTCTGCAACATCAATCGCTATCTTCTGTCTTCTTGAATCCCGTCCATCTTTTCTCCTTTCCTCGGTCCTTCCTATACGCAGTCTTTTCTCTCACTTTCACACCCTGTAAATTCCTGAGTGCCAGTGGCATTGCCGTCTTCCTTGCAATGAAATAATTTAAAAAAAACAAAAAAAAATTCTCTGAGACAGAATCAGACGGCCGTTTTTCATATCATATATATATACATATATATATATATAATTATTTTTTTTTTAAATCTATAACATAAATATGTTATAAAATCACTACAAAAATAGCCATTTTGTTTCAACACCCTCGGTGTCTTATCAAGTGATGATGTTGAAGATAAAATAAATGGTTTTAAAAGTTTCAAATTAATTAACGATTCTTCGCTAGGGGAAAACGTTGTTACAAAAGCTAGAATGACCAATCAAAACCCAAGTATAGGAAGATTCAAAAGGTTGACAACGAAATCATGTTATAATAGCTATTCGGATCTTTAAAATACGCGAATTTATTCTAGCCAATAATTATTAAATACACCACTGATATACTTGTGTATATATATATATATATATATATATATATGTGTGTGTGTGTGTGTGTGTGTGTGTGTGTGTGTGTGTGTGTGTGTGTGTGTGTGTGTGTGTGTGTAAAGGTTGATATACTGGTTCATTTTGTAGGGCGTAGCAAAACTTTGCAGGTTATTTAAAACCAGAAAATATTTTTAGATTATGTGAATTTTTTTTTTTGGGGGGGGGGTTCTATCCTCTGCCAGCCGCAATGATGGAGAAAACATTACCTCGACCGATCGCCAGTGAGACACGCTGCAAGAGTCACTCCGCTTCACGAGGTTCCTCTCTGAATCGAGACGCAATCCTGCCAACCCCCCGAAGGAACGCTATCGAAGGAGAAGTCTCCACTGCCACTGGAGTAAAAATAAATCTGCTCGCAAAAGAATATTTAACTATTTTTTTTTTTTTTTATCTCTGCGTCCTGATCATATTACCGGTCGAAAATGTATCGGCACAGGTTACATCCAAATTCGACAACTTCCGCCCTTTAAAAGGGAAAATGGTAATCACATCCGGCCTCTGCTCATCACCACAGACGAGGCCTATACGTTTGATTTGGGAAGGCAACCCAGCTTCATCCAGACCTGCTTTACTGCATGCCTTGGAAAGCGGCCGGCACTACGACGACTGGAGCGAAGATCCGGCCTCTTTCCATCACCTCGGTCAAGGCGTACAGGTTCGTTTTGGGAAGGGAACCAAGCTTCATCCAGACCTCTTACGATGGTGTCGTTTATTGCTGCATGCCTTGGAAAGCGGCAGGCACTATGACGAGAGGAGAGAGGATCCGACCGCTTTCCATCACATCGGTCAAGGCGTACAGGTTCGATATGGGAAGGAAACCAAGCTGCATCCAGAACTCTTATGATGATGTCGTTTATTACTGCATGCCATGGAAAGCGGCCGGCACTATGACGACAGAAGCGAGGATGCAAACTAAACTCATCAATCGAAGCTCCACATCTTCATCTGTGACGCTCACATAATTTGAACTCCGACCCGAGTGCACTCATCATCTAAAAGGGAAGCGATTGATGAAAAGGGCACAAGAAAAACGCGTAGCACAAGACAAGCTAATGAAATGCAGATTGGTCATTAGGGTTTTCCATACATACGTTTGATAATAATATGATCATTAAGTTTGTCTATACATAGCCTTAATATAAAATGGGCTGTTTTTGCATGCATTTTTCTACCTTCATTTTTTTTATGATTTCAGGTCGCTGTTTTGAATCAATCAATTATTTGGATTGAGCGGAAAATAAACGCATACAGGCACACATCTACATGCAAACCGATGCAATATTGCACTTAAGAAAGATTGTCACAACGGAATGTTTTCATACAATGAAGATGAGGGTCTTCGGCTGGTATGTGCCGTGTCTCTTCAAGCGATCATGGCTCTCCACTATTTCTTGTCTTTTATAGCTCTTAATAAATATAGTCATTTTTTTCTCCTTAATGCTTGTTCTTCCATCAATTTACTCAAAATTATTCTTCTTCTCCTCCTCCTATTATTCGGACTATTGTCCTCATCTTTGTCGCCATATTTATTGCAACGTTTCGGCCGTTGTATGCTTCGGCCTTCTTCAGGTGGTAGGAATTTCGAACTGAACCCTTTATTTCGCTCACCGGGGTAGACAGTTCTAGTTCCACGTGCCATGTTTAATAGATATCAGTTATCAGTTATCTCCTGTTAATTTCCCTCTGAAAGTTCTCCACTGCCTTAACCGCGTATTGAACTCACACTCTTTGGGTCTTGTCACTGGATCTAACCAATACCTTTATCCACTTTTGTGCCATGTGTCCTCGAGGACACATGGCACAGCTGACATCCATCAAACATGGCACGTGGAACATTCCAACCACCTGAAGCAGGCTGGAGCGTACAACGGCCGAAACGTTGAGATAAATATGGCGACAAAGATAAGGACAATAGTCCGAATAATGTAAATAATGTACAATAAATAATGTACACATAAACACAGTAAAAAGAACCTTAAAATATTGGAGGCCATCGATATTAAAACAAAGCAACCCACACTCAATAAAATTACATTTTAAAATAGTCACAACACATTACATTACATCTAGACATATCGTTCTATTGTTAATATTTCGGCCTCTCACGTACATCATAGACTGCATTATGAATTTATGACCTGTGTCTGCTATTCCGCGACCGTTATCGTCGTATAGCAATCTTCTATGTCAACATAACAGAATATCATCTTTCATGGGGAATATCTTTGTTTCAATGTCTATATAACCACTATGAATATGGCTCATGGGAGCGGACAGCTTAGATCAAGGACCATTTTAATAAAAAACATCCAAATGTTGGACAGTTTTTGTCTTTATTTTCACCAGAAATTAAAGCAACCAAACGAAGTTGATACCGGCTCATGATCAAACATAGTAGACATTCGTTGTATTTAACAGTATATGTTTGAACACATACACACACAAACACACCAGACAGACATAGATAGATAGATAGATAGATAGATAGATAGATAGATAGATATGATAAAGACTAAAATAAATGGATAGATATGAAAAGACTAAAATAAATACATAGTTAGATAGATATGAAAGACTAAAATAGATAGATAGATATATAGTTAGATAGATACGAAAGACTAAGATAGATAGATAGATAGATAGATAGATATGAAAAAGACTAAAATAGATGGATAGATATGAAAAGACTAAGATAGATAGATAGATAGATAGATAGATAGATAGATAATGAAAAGACTAAAATAGATACATAGTTGGATAGATATGAAAGACTAAAGTAAATAGATAGATAGATAGATAGATAGATAGATATGAAAAGACTAAAATAGATATATAGTTAGATAGATATGAAAGACTAAAATAGATAGATAGATAGATGTGAAAAGACTAAAATCGATAGATTGATGTAGAATTAGATATGAAAAGACTAAAATAGATAGATAGATAGATAGATAGATAGATAGATAGATAGATAGATGTTTGAAAAGATTAAACATTAACAGCGCATCCAATTTCGTTGAAGCAGACGATAAACGCATGAGAGCGTGATAGCCTCACCCATCTTCCGTTTCTTTCTTTCTTTGCTTTTTTTTGTCTTTCTTTCTCGCAGTAGTTTTTCTTGCTCGCAAGAAATCTGGGATTATGCGCTCAGCAAGTGACGGGGACAAAAAATCTGTTTGCCTAATCGCAATTCGTATTTTAACGAGCCAAGATGTGATCCATACGAGAGAATCAGAAAATAATTTTCAGATTTGAGATAAAAATATATTACACGTCGTTACGCAAAAAAAAAGAAGCATTTTCTTAAAAAGATAAAAGTGCGTACTAACTAAAAAAATTGGTAAAAAACCCACCAGTGTATGAAGGTAAAAAGAAAGACGCCACGATGAGTTCGTGGTTGAGAAGAAAGAGAGAAAGGCGAAGCATTCTTGTGGAGAAATAAATGTTGGTAATAGCAATATGTTAGTCTTTGTTTTTATCGGGTTTCTCAGTACTTATTCAGATAGATAGATAGATAGATAGATAGATAGATAGATAGATAGATATGAAATGACTGAGATAGATAGATAGATAGATAGATAGATATGAAATGGCTGAGATAGATAGATAGATAGATAGATAGATAGATAGAGAGAGAGAGAGAGAGAGAGAGAGTCTGATATAGATAGATATGAAATGACTGAGATAGATAGATAGATAGATAGATAGATAGATAGATAGATAGATAGATAGATAGATACTAAGCTAGCTAGCTAGATAGATATGAAATGACTGAGATAGATAGATAGATAGATAGATAGATAGATAGAGAGAGAGTCTAGCTAGATAGATAGATAGATAGATAGATAGATAGATAGATAGATAGATAGATAGATACCTAGCTAGCTAGCTAGATAGATAGATATGAAATGGCTGAGATAGATAGATAGATAGATAGATATGAAATGGCTGAGATAGATAGATAGATAGATAGATAGATAGATAGATAGATAGATAGATACTAATCTAGCTAGATAGATATGAAAGCCAGCATAAATAAAATACACATAAAAATTCTGTTTGAGCGTATAAATGACCTTAGCTTGAGTAACTTTTAATTGGTTCAAGCCTGCATCATCTATTTATAAAAAATTCAAAACTCTAATCAATTTATTTTCTTTCTCTCTCTCCCCCGCCTCTCTCTCTCTCTCTCTCTCTCTCTCAATATATATATATATATACATATATATATATATATATATATATAAATCAGATATGTCGTGCAGTTCAATTTATATTACAATGAATTCGCAAACAATATTTTAAAGTTTGTAAGTCAGCTGGCCTAGAGAGCGCAACTGAGAATATGATTGAGAGATGCCTGCTCTGTCTGCCCACTAAGACGTGTTGTGACACAAGGTCTTTTTAAGGTCGGGAGCCCGAGCGCATACACCCGGGCTAGGAACTATAATTGAGCTGGTCTCGATGAGAGAACCGACCCCTCACTCTGGTTTAATGAGAGGCCGCGGACTCAGGCAGCTATTCCCCAGGGCTGGGGACCTCTCAGTATAATTTTCCTCAGTTGCGACTCTGTCCTTTGGCGGAGTCGTTCCTGAGTGCACTCTGCCCAAAGACAAAGACTCAACTAAGAGATGATAAATAGATGTGTTACAAACCACTCCAAAGTGCGATTTACACATTCGGCCTTGGGTGGCAAGTAAATACGAAGTCAGCTGGTCACAAAAATAAATCTATTAACAAAAAATAGGTTTATTTCCATTGTATTCGGTTAAATTTCTGTTTGGCGAAGTCGATGTGACTATAACTTGACTCGAGTTGGCGTAGGTTCACATGTAGGACAGGTCGGTATGGACAAGTTGTGAAAGGAAGAATAATAAAATTACTTGCTGTAAATGTCTGGCGAAACGAAAAGATAGCCATCGCCACTGTGTTAATTAGTGGAGCTATGTGAGCATACACCTTAAATTGATTGGGGGTTATCGGTTTTGCAATCATAAAGTATATCAGAGAATATTTTAGGTGTAGTGGAAATTGATTGGCTATAAAATATATTGTCTGAGTCGAGCTGTGATTGGTCAAAGCGATGGTGTGTTAGGTTTTACTTGGATCGACACACCGTTGGGACAATTCACTACATATACACAAATTTAAAATATATATATATATATATATATATATATATATATATATATATATATATATATATATATATATATATATGAAATATATAAATAAAACATATATATATATAAAACATAAAAAATAAATAAAAAATAAAATATATATATATTAAAATAAAATATAAATATATATATATATATATATATATATAATGGACTTTTCCGTCGGTTTAGACGTATGAGGATCTGCCAGCTTACTTGATTCAGTTATGAAAGTTTATGCGATAATCTTAAGTGGCATTTAAGATCCGCTAGTGATTTACAAAGGAGGACACATATGGAGTAAGTGTGAGAATTGTGAGATGAGATCACTGTTAGATTGTCTGACGTTTTAGATCTTGCTCTCGCTTCTTGAAGATGATTCAGACAAGCAGATTGAAAATTGCTGAGTCCACTAAAACACGTTGGTCTCCATTCTACCCGCGCCAAGGCTAAGCGCTGAAGGGTATTATGTGGTATATTAACTGCTGACAAGTTGCTTTTCAGCTTGTCTTTTTATATATATATATATATATATATATATATATATATATATATATATATATATATATATAAGGAAAGAGATTATAGTAGTTCAAACTAGAAAAAGTGTGTATATTAAAAAGAAAGAGAAACTGAAAACATTTTTGGTTGTAATGTGGATTTTTTTAAAAATATTATGCTTTATTTTCCATAATTTTGCTACACGGGTTTCCGGTCTCGCGACCTTCATCAGGCAAAGCGTGGAGATTTCCGCTTATTATTAAAAAATAATTAATTTTTTCTTATGTTTTCGATGTTAAATATTCTTGATATGAGACATTCTCTTTTTAGTGTGTCAGTGACCCAAATGAACTTGAACAGGAAGTGAAAATTTCTGCGTGATTGGTAATAAAACAATTAAGATTGGTCCGAGAAATGGTGAAGGAGTTATCGGCATTCTTATCTTTTAATGACCCCTGTGTATTCTTAGATCTATTTCCATTTTCGTGTGTTTCTGTTAGCATTTAGCATGCGTGTATATATGTATATTCCCTCTCCATACATAGACACTGTCTTATTACAAGGAATTAGAATAAAAAAAATTTGTACACATACACACATATATACACACACAAACACACACACACATACATACATATGCATATACTTCCCAAGTTACAAGGAATCAGTATACACACACACAAAGTCAACACGCAGTGGCGACAGAGTTTGTTTCACGTAGTCGTCATGGCCTGAAGATTGCGTATGAACATAAAACGGACACACACAGATATATATATATATATATATATATATATATATATATATATATATATATATATAATGATGATGATGAGGGACTCTCCTGTCGGTTTCGACGTATGAAGTTCCGACAACTTTGTTTATTTAACCTGTGTGTGAGTCGCAAGTGACATTTCAGTCCTGCCAGTGATTTGCAAAGAAGTTCACAGATTGTGCAAGAGTGTGGATTCTTGGAGTATATGGCTGGAACAGCAGCAGATATTTTATTCCTTTCCCTAATTTGACGAAGCTTGACAATGTTTGATGCTGCCTTGTTCTTTCTTATATATATATATATATATATATATATATATATATATATATATATATATATATATGAATCTTTCATACAAAAACAAATATAGAGGTTAATGATTTAAATGGCGAGAATACATCTTCGCAAACAATTTCAATAAGGTACACCAACCCCAAACCTCTATATGAATGATATGATCCCTGTTTATAAATTCCAGTTGCATAAGGTCTTTTTAATTTTTACAAGCTTTCGTCTGTTTCTACAGACATCCTCAGGTATGGAAATAGATTTGTTCTTGCTTTTTACTTCTCGGTAATAAGAGGACAACGAAAATAGAGATCTAATCCGAAAAATGCTTTTAGAAATGTGTTATTGTTTTGGAACGTGAGGTCGCAACGCTAAGGTTGAATTTTTAAAATTTTAAGATTGTGCGTTTTTGTACTAATATGGTAATAGGAGAATTCTTTTGTACTGGTAGGTTTTTCAGTCAATGTGGCATGAACTAAATTGTTCAATAATTACAGGAATGTCACAGTTATTTTAATATCAATATAAGGTGCATATATATATATATATATATATATATATATATATATATATTCATCCACAAAACAGTGAACTAAAGACTATAAAACACATATTAATAATAGCTTTCCAAACTATATAGTTGATGAACAAATAAGATGCTTTCTTAGAAATCTCAATACTAAGCAAATAGTACATAATACTGCTTCAACTAATCTCAAACATATTAATCTTCTATATCGTAATCAAATACATACTAATTATAAGCAAGGTGAAAATATACTAAAAAATTAGTAAATACTAATATATCTACAACAGATCCTAGCTAAAAAATTAAATTACTCATATACTACACAAAATCTAGTATATCCAACTTAATTATTCACAATGATTCTTCTCCCCCGGTTAGCGATTTGCAAAAAAAAAACAACATAGTTCACAAATTCAAGTACCCTTTGGGAGATTGTATCATCAACGGATTAAATAATAATATTTATGTTGGTCACACCACAAACTCGCTTTCACGACGCTTGACTCTACATTTGAATGATAACTCTAACATTTTAAGGCATTTAAAACAACATGCCTAGCCGCGTTCACAATTCCGGAAAATCCTCGTTGAAAACACAACTATACTTAAACATGAAAACAATAAACAAAAAATTAAAATTTTTGAAGCTTTATACATGAAACAGTTGAAACCTAACCTGAACAAAAACTATGAAATCTCCACAAATCTCCTTAAATGCCAATAATTTATAACAGAAGCCAT